ACACACACACATATATGAATGAAACAAGTGACTGAGGATTTCAGACAGGAGATGTTTAAGAAAAAAAAGGAGATGCAGAATATTTCTTGGGTCTTAGTTACATTTCTATTTCCCCTCCTGTAGCCATCCAATTCCTATTTCCTGGCACGGTTTGCATTCGGACGCCACCCCCAGCCCTGGACTTACAGCCATGTACGGTTTGCATCCTGCATCGATAGTTTTAGCCACCGAGTCCACAAGGTAGCCACTGATGCCAAAGTCGCACATCTTCACTTGGCCCAGAGCATTGATGAGCACGTTGGAAGGCTTGACGTCTGAAAGCAAGAACAAGGAGAGGCGTCATCCCAGTCTGCTCTGAGGATGCATCGCCCCTACCTACCACCAGAGGGCCTGAAATCTCCATTTCTCCTCAGCTTCCTTTCCCCATGGCCAACACAAGAGTAAATGCCACCCCTGACTCACTGACATACTTCTTATTACTTTCAACCTGATTTCTATTTCATGGGTTGTCTTTCTTATAGGACTGTGTGAAGCCACCAATGGATAAAAACTGTTTCATCAAAAAAAAAAACAAGAAAAGGAAGGAAGGAAGGAAGGAAGGAAGGAAGGAAGGAAGGGAGGGAGGAAGGGAGGAAGGAAGGAAAAGCCCAGCCAGCATGGCTCAATGGTTGAGCATTGACCTATAAACCAGAAGGTCACAGTTGGATTCACAGTCAGGGCACATGCAGGAGGCAGCCAATCAATGGTTCTTTCTCATCACTGATGTTTCTATCTCTCTTTCTCTCCCTTCCTCTCTGAAATCAATAAAAATATATGTATTTTTAAAAGGAATTGTTTCTTCTATTTTATCATCTTTATTCTTCCCAACCCCCATCACATAGTAAGAATCTGACAAATTATTACTGAATCAAACGCCCAATTCCATGGGCATAGTCTGAATTATTCTATCTAAATAAATCCTAGAGACCTGCTGGACACCGTTGTAATGAACAACACTATACAGTAAACTTAAAACTCTCTTATGATGGGAGATCTCACGTGAAGTGTTCTTATGACAATGACAAAATTTTTAAAAGCCCAGTTTCGAATGATCTACTGCACAGTTAGTGCAGGAATAATAGCCCATGGAATGAAAGGGCACACTGTGACGTAACAATATACCAAATACAATAAACCCAACCAGTGTTGGTTGAAGCCCCTTTAAGAGGTGTGTCAGAGGTCACAGAGTGGAACTCATCATGAACTCAGATATTCCTGAGTCCACGAGGCAGGTCACAGAATATACATGTGGATGGAGGAGTATTGCTGAATCCTTAAGTTGAGAAAGATATGGCACCTGCCCAAGTAGATGAACCGTTGTTATCTCTGGATAATGGAATTAAAAATTATAGTGCATTGTTCCCCTGGGACACTATTCACAAAGTCCATGTAATCAGGAAAAAAGTTATTCTAAAAACTTTTACAATTATGCTTTATAATTCCCCCCTTCAATGGAATGGCAGGCATGCATTTCATTTCCTTATTGTTTAATTGTATATACATTCTCTCATATGATGAAATATTTCATCATTTTAAAATAAACCGTTATAAATTGGGTTCACATTTGTTGGTAATCCACATTTTTCTTCCTATCTGGACTCTGTCCCACCTCTTCTCCTCCTCTTCTTCCTTCTGATTTTTCCAATTTTTAAGAATAATAATGGCAATAGGCATCCTTTGGAGGCATTTCACATTATTTTCTGGCTCAGAGAACATAAAAATTACCAAATTCAATGCCTTATTAGCTATCAATACTTTCCATTAATTTTTCCAAAAACCTGGTTGAACAAATCATGTCCTTGTTTTATATTCTACCTATACTAATTCCCTACTTGGTATTTGCATATTTCTCATGTGCTTTCATGGGTTTGTTGTATATCTGCTTATTTCTCTATCAAGAATTCCTATGTAGAACATTAATAAGAATAGATTTTCTTCTCAGATACCTCTCAGGGCATCTATTATAGGGATGTAAAAATATAGTGCTGCATACTGCTGGAGAAATGAGTATCAGAGAGAAGTGGGTAGATATGTGGATTGAGGAAAGATGGAAGAATGGATATATGGGTGAGTGGATGGATAAAGAGATAACAGGTCGATCGGAAGGAAAAGGGGAAGGAGGGAAAGAAAGAAGAGACACATCTACCACTGTTCTCAGTTATCCTGCCTCCTGGAGTCTGAAAAGGCTGTGCTTTAGACCACACCTTTTCACTCCTGAATGTGCACAGAAATTACCATCTGGTTAAAACGTAGTCAGTTGGTCTTGTGACCCACAGTTCTACTTTCCAACAAGCTCCCAGGTGACGGCCAGGCTGAATGAATGTTTACCCTATTTTCTGGAACTGTCCATTGGGTGATCCCACATCTCTGCTTGGTAACAGGTATTTTATATTTGACTAAGATGTAATGTACAGCCCATGCCTGCTGATGCCCTTGGATAAGATAAAGAACAGCCACTTGTAGGATTTGCGATCCAGTCCCAAGGGAAAACCCTGCAATGCTCTTGCCTGACTCAATCCCACTCCCATCCATTGTGGGGGAGAACTCAAGTCAAAGACCCAAACTCTAGGAGAGGAACAGCCAGGGCAGCCCCAGGATGCTTACCTCGATGGATGACAGAGAGCTTACTGTGCAAATGCTCTAATGCTTTAACAATCTGCAAGAGAAACACAGGATAGATTGATGTCCCCCATCCCTGGAAAGAAGTCGAATGATAAGCATATCCAGGTTGATTACCCTGACTTAAGGTCACGAGGTGAAGTATTTTCTCAGAGAGTGGTGGTCCTTTCCAGAAAAATACACAGGAAGTTACACGAACTAGATTCTACCCACAAGAGAGGACTCTATCCTATAGCAGAGAGTATGTCTCACTCCTATATCTTGGTTTTCATTTGGTCTCCAGCATTTTTTTTCTCTCCACCCTCCTTAACCTCAATAGCTTTTAAGGGCAAACACCTTCCTTCCATTTCAATTTTTTTCTGCTTCCTTCTATGCTTATGAGTCCTATGAAAATGTGTAATAATCTACAAATAAAAATTAAATGATGTCAGAATACAGTGGGGCCTTGACTTACAAGTGTCCCAACTAACGAGTTTTTCGAGATACGAGCCGTTTCTCGGCCGATTTTTTGCTTTGAGTTGCGAGCTAAAATTCGGGTTACGAGCCAGCTTCAGATACCCCACTGCTAGTTGGCGCAGCGAACGCCACAGTGAATGCCACAACATCAGCCCAGCATCACGTGTCTCACTCGTTCACTTTTGATTTGACATACGAGTAATTTGAGTTATGAGCTCCGTCATGGAACGAATTAAACTCGTAAGTCAAGGCCCCACTGTATAGACACCAGGAATGCAGTCATAGCAGATGAAGGCACAACTGAGAGGCACTTGAACTGAGAGTTTATCACACTGAGCCAGAGGTCAAATTTGCTGTAGTGCTCATTGAGAAAAGCATTCATCTCTCCATCCTCAGGTACACTCTTGCATTCAACATGTATTGGATGACTCTATGGTAGCGTGTCCTCATACTGGGGACACAAAGACACAGGAGGCCTAGACATCTCACGCTCGCTTTGTAGGATCCATTGTGTACTCACAGAAACTGCTATTTTCCCTAAGATGTCCTCTGGAATGGTTTGGCCTTTATCAATCACTTGTTTGTAGAATTTATCTAGCGACGTATCCATGAGCTCCATGCAGATCCAAACATCACCCTAGAGAGCAATGGGTTCAGAGATGGTTAGAGAGGATGGAAATGGGAAAAAGAGAGAACAGTGCGCATCTGTCAGGAAGAACTACTTCTTGCCTGAGTTTTCAAAGGAAATGGACAGTTTCTCTTCAAAATCTCAGGAATTCATCAAACAAGCAAGATGATCTCCAAAGAGCAAACTAGCAGACAGCCAAGCAGAACTGACATGTGATCACCTACGCCTTAGTGAAAACTAGCATCAAAATACTCAGAGAGACAAGCAGCAGAATGCACCAAAGCCAAGCCTTTACTGGGACTGTCCCTAGGAGTTAGGTCTAGAAGCCTGTTCCATGGCTGACCTCCCATGTGGAGCACTGGCCATAGTCAATCAAAAGGCTGGTTTGAGCAGTGAGGTTGAAGCATTGTAAACAAAGATGTAGAGCAAAGAGAGAAATATAAGTCTATATGGTACAAAAGCAGGCTACATAAAACGTAGGAAGGAGCCAAAGGACCAGAACATTTCAGACATTTTTTAATATTTATTTAATTTATTGATTTATTTGAGAGAGGAGAGAGAGAAAGAGAGAGAGAGAGAGAGAGATCGATTTGTTGTTCCATTTATTTATGTATTCATTGGTTGATTCTTATATGTGCCCTGACCAAGGATCTAACCCGAAACCTTGACATATCGGATGACACTCTAATCAACTGAGCTACCCGGCCAGGGCAGAATATTTCATATTTTAAGGGCTCTATCCAAATCGATCGACAATTGAAATAGACAGTTCTGCCAAAAGACAAAGCAAAACAGAGAGGAGAAAGAGCCACAGCGTCTTGAACAGGGCTCCACACATCTGAAAATACCATCATCTCCGCCAACTTTGCACCAGGGCATCGTGCTATCGATGCAAAGCCCAAGACTCTAGGAGACCTGTCCATCACGAAAGAAGACCACGATGGTGCATGGCATTTATGTGGTCAGAGGCACTTCTTTGTGAGTGACTGTTCCCCTCAACTTTGAACTGAAGGGTCACTTACCTCCCGGAAGAGCGCGCCGTAAAAGGTGACCGTAAAGGGACAGTCCACCGTCCTCATGGAGACATCCAGGTCCATCAGTAGCCTTTTCTGCTCCTGGCTGTTCACGGTGGCCCGGATCCGCTGAGTGGGAATGCATGGTAAAATGCAGGGTTACTGCTCTGAGGATGAAGCAGGTAATACCACAGGGACCTTAAAAGAGTCCCCTCCTGAAAATAGTACACAAAGCCATGGCACAACTTCTAGCAACAACCCTTTGTACAGCCACCCTAAGTGATTGGCTATTTGTAACAAAATAAAAATAAGGAAGATTGTTATTCATGTGATTTCCCGAATAACCCCTGGTTCCAAAAAAAAAAAAAAAACCAAAAAAAAAAAAAACCCCAAACAACTGATAATATATTTTGGAAAATGTACAGATGTTTGGAAATGTATTTCCAAATTACAAAAACAGTCTGGTTTATTGTATTATGTCTGTTCAGTGCAAAGAGGCCACAGTAGGAATTACTCCGGCTGAATCGGAGTCCTTCAATAAAGGCCAAAAGCCCCACTTTGGAAACAAGTAAGAATCGTTGGACTAAGCAGCAGCTGTAAGAGAATTGATACAGCTGTGGGAAATAGAAGGGAACAAACAGAAATGGAGAAATCCTTCGTTCACATCCCGGTGCTTGTGGGAGAAGAGGAACCTCGCACATCAGCAAACAGAGCCTTACAGAAATACGATTACTTCACTAAATCACAGGAACAATACTTCACGAGGCATTCACATTTTCTGCCTACTTAGCAAAGAGTCTGCAGGAGAACAAACTGAAAAATCTACAAGGTAAGGAAAAGGTATCTCCATTCTCCAAAAACAAAGGGATCCAAGTCATCTGACCACCCACACTCCTCACGATGGCCCAAATCTATTAGTTCATCTAGAGATGGCGATTCGCCAAGGTCCTCCCAGCATCCACTCAAGAAATATGCAATGATTATACATTTCTTTTTATAGGGCAGAAACTATGCAAATTCACTCAAGATGTATTTTACCCTCCCTTTCTTCCACAGTGGAGACAATTTTCCTCCCTCAGTTCTGGTTTCCTGGTTTTTAGGGACACTTCTTTAAAAGAAATAGCATGTAGAGTAAAAGAGACTTCTGAGACATAACAACCAAATGCAATATGTGAACATTTGTTTGGATTCTATTTAGAAGAACCAACAGTGGGACAAAAAAAAAACAACTTCAAGACAATCAAGGTAATCTTAATTTGGAGCTGGTAATAGGTGATACTAAGGAAGTATTTTCTACACATTTGGAGGGCAATCTGTTCCCTACAAGTAATATTTTCTGCTCCACCCTTTAAAGATTGTTTTGCTTCTATGAAGAAAGCTGACTTGCACTGGGGATGGACAAATGTATACACCGCAGACAGAAAATGTTTGGGGAACGTCAACTCTACCTTCACTGCCATGATCTGCCCGCTGGGCACATGTCTCATCTTCTCCACCACTCCGTACGCACCTCGGCCCAGCTCCATGATAGGCTCCAGGTCATCTGCCTTCACCTCAAAGTTCTGCAGGCGAGAAAAAGAATGCAATAAGACAGAGAAAAATAAACTTAACAGTAGACTACCTTGTCCTCTCTCTGGTTTCTCCCAACATTCTAAGGGTTATTTCTGGTCCAGATGCTTTTTCAAGCAGCCACTGAAAGTAAGAAGCATTGGGAGATGTTTAGACCCCCAAAGCATGTCACTTGCTTGTCACAGGTGATATAGAGATCCAACTCTAATTTAGCTTCCAAATTGCTCCGTTTAAGCTGTCTACACTGGGGTTTGTCAGCCATGCCTCCTTAAATACCTGTGTATGTGCTGACTGATGGCAACTAGGTCTGTGCTTGGACTTTGAGAAATACTCCCTCCCCACAGAGAATCATCTACTCTCTTCAATTGCCTTCCATCAGGACCACAACAGCCTGATTTCAACTCGACATTCAAAAATATCAAGCCCAGCCAGCATGGCTCAGTGGTTGAGCGGTGACCTATGAACCAGAAGGTCGCAGTACGATTCTCGGTCAGGGCACATGCCTGAGTTGTGGGCTCAATCCCCAGTGTGGGGTGTGCAGAAGGCAGCCAATCAATGATTCTCTCTCGTCATTGGTGTTTCTATCTCTCCCTCTCCCTACCTCTCTGAAATCAATAAAAATATATTTAAATATACATTTTTTAAATAACTATATATTTACCTTATCTTGAAGTTTTTTTTATCAAGAGTTCCACATACTACTTCTTTTTAAATTCAAACTTTCTGATCTATCCCATGACAAAATATTACAGAAAATATTTTTCAATGAGACACGACTTTTCTCACCTGGTTTCCGATAGAAATGCAAGCTTTGGAGTCTAAATCTCGAGGCGGCCTAAGGAAAACAAGGGGGGGAGGGGGAAAACGTAAGCGTTTAGTAAAAAATGTCCTTCCCAAGTCAAATGTGATTGGAAAGATTTTTCCTGAGAAATCAGGAGGAAGTCCATGAGTAACATAAAGCAGCATACAAGTGTACACAGTGTGGGATTTGGAATAAAATACATTTGGGTTTAAATCATTTAATCTCTTGGAGCTTCCATTTCTTCTTTAAGGTGAGGATATTGGTATACCTACCTCATAGAGTAGGAGTATCAAATAGTTACCTCAAAGAGAGTAAGAGTACCCAGTAAAGTGCTTAGCAGAATGCCTAACATACAGTAAATATCCAACAAATAGGAGCCACATGAGTATAGTTATATAATTACATTATTCCAGGTCGCCTCAAACTTTGTTTTCATCCAAGAACACCAAGTGCCCAGTGAACCCCCTACTTTTTCCACAACTGTTTAAAAAAAAACAAACCAACAACAATAATTGGCAAAATGGTTATCTTAACTCACAAAATTCACAGACCATAAGAATTCAAAATCTATCTGGTCCCTGCCTTTATAAATGGGGGAGAAAAGATCTGGAGAGGTGAAATGACTTGTCCAAGGTCACAACGAACCCAGGCCCCCTGATTTCCAGGTCAGGATACCTTCTCTTCTATCAGGCTGCCTAATTCAGTTGTGACAGTTCTTCTCTACCGAGTGCACATACCGTCTAAGGCTCAGCCCAGCAGCCTGAGGCCTGCTGAATTCGTGTCTCCGTAAGACAGAGCACGGCCGTGTGTTTATTTCTACTACTTCACTGCTGCCTGGATTGATATCAAGCCACTTAAGAGAAAGATGTTTGGCTTTGGCTCTGCTCCTAACGAGGAGCTTAGAAAAGCATTTTCCTGAAATAAATGCACCGAAAACATCACGACACAAATCGTATGTGCCAGGAAACATACTGTTAATATGGCCAAATAATAGAGCAACTGAGGGGCCGTCCATGCCAGTGCTGTCTCTAGAAAAACACCAGGCGGGATGGAAGGCAGGGCAGAGGAAAGGAAGAGAGAAGAGAACCCTTTGCCAATGATAACTTTTCCCAACCCTAATGGATTATAATTCTACCCCTTCTGCTGCAACTAAAGAAAGAAAACAATGAGGGAAACGTAGGAATATAAACACAGATATAAACATGAGTCTTGGGCTTTCCTGGTAAGCCTTCTCTCACCTCAAAATCCCTTTGAAATGCACAGAATACCTAAAATAAGTTTTCCTAGACAAACCGAAAACCAGGGCCTGGGAGGGAGGGAGAGCACGGAAAACACACATGCACACACTCACACACACATGCACATGCGGACACGCCCAGTGACGTTTTTATATATGTTGTGTGTCTGAACAGGGAATGTTTCTTGAGAAACACGTGTCCAGGGGAATTAAATTAGTAAAAATCTGAGTTCTCATTCTTAAGCTTTCCAAAGCTATTTTTCTTCAGCTGTCACTATTTGTGCATCCTAAAAGAAGTGGAACTTTGATATAAAGACAAATATTACTTGAAATGTGTGACTAGTATAAACAATAAAAAAAAAACTTTGCAATTGTTCAGTATTCTTCCTTTTAAAAGCAACAGAAAGGGCTGCCTCCGCTTTCTCGTTATCCAGTGAGGGTACTGGGTGAGCCCTCTTCCAGGTCTGCTTGTCCGGGATTCACACCAGGGCTCTGCAAAGCACAGCCTGTGGCCCGGCTAAGAGCGATTTTTACAAGTTAAAGGTTATAAAAATACAAACAACGAAGAATAACCGACAGAGGTCACTGTGGCCCAGAGAGCCTAAAATATTTGCTCTCTGGCCTTTTGCAAAAAATTTTGCTGACTGCAGCTTTATACTAGCTGCACCATACCTCTACTGATGAGGAGGGTTTTGTGCCATTTTTCAGGCTGAGGAAAATGAAGTGCAGAGAAACTGCTGAAGCCACAGTCCTCAACAGAGTTGCAAATAAAACTAGCATCACCTGACTCTGGGGCTGGACCTGAGGAGGAAAGGATATATGCTGAATACCGGGTTAGGTGCTTTACCTG